AACGCAGAAAAGCCGATTACAATATCCCATGCACAGAACTGTTAAAATTCGAAATATTTTATTTAACAAAATTATTCTTGTACAAGTTCCTGAAATGAATTCCACTTCTTGCTTCTTAACATTAAAAGTGGTTAAGGTCCCACAAGTTTCAAAAATATCCACTGAGCTATTTTTAGATACCAAAGAACCTCTTATTTTTATGGGTATGAAGTAAGACAACAAAAGAGTAACCGAGAGCAACTTTCTTTGCAGAAATTAAATTTTGAATATTTTCATTTGAATGTGTCATGTGATTTAAACTATCGTAGTCTAAAAGATTACATTATTTTATTCTTCCTTATTCGATCCATTGCTTAAATTTAAATCGTGAATTTATGGTTAATCTTCCAAGGTTGTTCGGGTAAACGTTTTGAAACTTTCTCTTTCTCTGTACGTCTATACTTGAATCTTTATATGCATGTATACATACAGATATATACACGGTTTAACACAGAATATAGATACAACTTTATGGGGTCATAGAACATTGCAGATATAGATACAACTTTATGGGGTGATAGTAGCAACGTACGTAGTACAATACCTTGTATACGCCTAGTAGACTGGAAAATGTGAATATAGGGACACAGCAAGAGCAGAATTGAAAACGAAAAGTCGTTTTTAATCATGAATGTTCACTATAAATATTGTTTGATATTTACAAGAATTGGCCAAACGAATGATCATTGACTGCAATACATGCATCACAACGGCGACAGTGTGACTGAGTAAGCATTCAAAGATAATCCGGCATGTCACGTACTTCTGCGACAGACACGTTAATTCTGGCGATAAGGTCTTCAACAGAGTGAGACTGCATCTCTGTAGAGAATAGCCAATTAAGTGGAAAACGATATTCTGCAGAAATGGATAATGTAAATATGAGGGCTGGAAGTAGTATGTTTTCAAATCAAGGTTTTGTCAACTTTCATACAGATGCAATGAATGTTATGTAATTTCATTCCTCAGATAAAATTATGCAGCAAGATGTGCAAACTATCTTTGACTGTTAGACATCGTTCTTGTAAGCATCGTCAAGACATAATGAGTTATTTGAACGAAGAGCATTTTGAGAGTCGATATTATTTACAGTAATTAAGACAAAATGCTTGAGAAACTGCGCGGAATCAAACCTTGCGATTTCCTGCACTTTAAAGTACACTTTGCTCTAAAATGAAAGCCACGTAAATACTGTCAACGTGCGTTATAATAATCGCTCATTATAACGGCAGTAACTCATTATAACGAAGAGAAAAAAAGACCGGTGAAAAAAATCGCCAGCTGTTGAGAGTATGAAAACATTGTTTCATGACCGCGTTCAAATTTCAACTACCAACTAAAATAACTTGCTTCAAAATATTGGCAAGATTTGTGAAATAATGCTTCACAGAAAAGACGCGCATGTAACTTGATCCCCAATGTAAGCTTCCCATCTCTATAGTCAAATCTTTCATTAAATTACTACTATATAACAGGATGCTTTCCCTCATAGTTCTACACAAGAAATATAGCAAACTTCGACATCTGTGTATGAAGGAAGCAGGGAACGCCTGATCGTCGCATTTCTCATGCCTTTTAACTGAGGATAATCACATAAAATTCCCCACAAACTGATCTCCGGGCATTACAAAGGTTTCTAATAGAAGATAAACATCAACATCCTAAGTTTAAAAAAATTTACAACGACGCTCTTCCTTCGGCTTAGATCTTTGCCGTTATGTTTCTCATGCTACAATAAACTTTTACTTCTTGTGAATATGTTCAAAAGGATTCCACTCATGATCTTCATAAATTGCAATGATCTGCTCTAACATAGCATTTTAAGTACATATTTTTAAATTGTGTTGGTTTCTTATTAAACTTATTCCCTATATTGTCAATTTCTATATTCCCAAGTTACTGAGCTCCCATATTCATACTCTCAGTGTTTTTTTATGTTATTCTCAAACGATTTGACTCCGTGAACACTTATTTAGTATTAATACGAGGGTTGGGTCAAAAGTCATGGCAACTATTTTTTTCTTGTAGATATGGGAACGGATCACAAAACGTATATGTGTCATGTGGAAGTTCTGCAGGCATAGTGTGTATGCAGAACAACAGATGGCTTTGTGATAGTTGGCTCTGTGGTAGCGAGGGCTCTGAAATCAGTCAGTTGGTGAGTGCCGGGCGAGATGGAGATAACCCGTGTTGAGCAGCGCGCTTACATCAAAATCGCCGTTCTCCGAGAGAGAAATGCGATGGAATGTCACAGTGAATTAGAAGAAGCCCTTGGGAATAATGCCCTACCATACCGTAAGTAGCACGGTGGGTAGGAAAGTTTCAGCAAGGACGTGTGTCAACCAGTGGTGAGCAACGTTCGGGACGACCGGTGAGTGTGCGGACCAACTTGGCACGTGCCGTCATCGAGCACCTCATGGATGAAGACAGACGATGGGTATTGCTGGAATTAGAGAGGGCAAGTGACATCGAGAAACGCACTGTCCACAGGATATGGCGTAATGAGCTAGCGTCAGAATCCTTCCCCAGTCATATTGATGGCGATCGTCGCGTATGGCGTCAGGGGTGTCAATTTTTGCCACTTTGTTCCTCATGGCAGAACAGTGACCGCACAGTACTACAGGAACTTCCTGGTGCGACAGGTACGATGTGGCGTTCGGGATAAACGTCCGGATCTTGTGGACAGTGCAATAATTCTGCACTACAATGCAAGACCACATAAAGCAGAGTGTGTACGGCAGCTATTCTGACGTTTGGGATGGGAAGAATTGGAGCACTCAACGTGCTCCCATGACCTTTCGCCCTGTGACTTTGCTAATGATATGCGCCAACAGATGACTTGACTCACACACGGTGCGGCAAATGCTGAGGCTGATGGTATTCAGCGCCACCCACATCGTTGGCAGCGTGTGGTGACAGTAGCAGGGGACTACATTGAGGGTCTTTAGGCCCAGGTTTGTCATGTCAACTTTATGTGTATTGTGTTATCATTCTTTTGCACGGGGAAGGCTATATTGTCCTGTATACTAACGTAATAATTTCGTGTGTTACGATATTTCAGTGCTATTCATTGTCCACACATGTAGTTAAGATTTTGTCCTTTCGTCTGTATATGTCACATTTTCCAACCGGACTGGTATCTTCAAGGAAAAAAATAGTTGCCATGACTTTTGCCCCAACCTACGTATTACAGTTCATTATAACATTGTGTTCCCTATACTGTATTATATTTATCTCATTACATTGATCTATTACTTAGTAGGTTTATCTGCTATTTTGTTACATCAAAACTAATGTTCAAGTTGTACTGTATTCGCATTATGTCCTAATTCATTATTTTTAGCAAATACTGCATGCGGGGTGTATTGTGGAATTACAGGATGTACCAAAATAGCAGGTAAACTCTAGATTTTTTGGAAAGCTTATAAGGTACTTTCTCCCTCCACTCCGCATGCCTTTGTGACGTAATTGGAAACACACTTGACGCGTATTCGGGAGGTACGGAATTTGAATCCCGGCGAGGGTACTGCTGATTTCTTCTTTTGGCTTCAAAAAAGCCTAATGAATCTAAAAGCTTCAAATGCTCATTTCGTCGGCGTCAATCAATACCTTTCTTTGTAAACCCTTATACATAGCTTGCATTACCATTTCTCCTATGGTAGATCGCTGGCAACCCCCATACCTATACCTGCACCTATACTGAGAATCAACTGTTCCATTTATGAAATAAATTAAAGTTACAAAAGTTAGAATTTATAGCACTCAACTTTCATTATCCACTTTCGCAAGATATCATGTGTTAATTTAATGAGTTTCTTTTTTTTTTCTGATTTTTCTTCGTCTCATAGTTTCTGAGATGTTAGTGATTAAACGTCTGCTATTACAGATGCTTCCATCTGTGTCATCTGGCAGTACACGATTACTATGTAGAGTCATTAGGTTTTGTTTTTCAAGCTGGAGACGTGAAAAATGTGCAGTGCCTTCGCCGGGACTCGAACCCTGGACCTCTCTAGTACGCGTTGAGTATGCTTCTAATTACGCCACGAAGGTATGTAGAAAGAAAGTAGAAATTATCTTGTAACATTACTCTGTCAAATATGTCCAGTTATTTTGGTGACTTGGGCTTTTATGTGCACCTTTTTATAAACAAAGTTCCCCCTTGACGCATACGATTTTGAACTGCGCGCATCCGTTTATACGTGGAGTTTATTCCAATAAATGTTTTTATATTTGCAGTAGTTAAAAAAAAAGTAAATATGAAAAAGAATAACTGACAAAAAATTCACGTAGTTTCAGACAGTGTTTAAGTTTCATGATGAGCAGGAAGTTTTAAAAAAACCCGTTTCACTCCAGGAATCGAACCTTGAAACCTAATAATTGTTAGTTAAATACATTCGTCGCTACATCAGAAAGACACATGGTCATAATTCTTATAATATTAATTATTTTCATTCTCTCCATTAAAAAGAAACAATGCGAGAAAGCAAGTACCCTGGTTCCTAAATCAAGGTGGTAACCAGTTATCACCCACAGCACTTTAGCGGGGCTTCAGTGTAGATTCATTAGGCTTCTTGGAACAAAACATTTTGAAACATCAATTATGCAATCACCGAGAATAAAACTTAGGTATTTCCAACTGTTTGTGTGTGACTACTGTGCTAACTACTACACTACAAGGACACATGAGCAGAACACCTTATTTCTCCCGCCTTCTTAGCATGCCTTCGTAGTGCAGTGGTCAGCACGCTCGGCGCGTATTCGAAAGCCCGTGGTTGAGTCCCGGCGAAATCCTTGCTTTTTCATCTCTCCTGCTTGGAAAAAATCTAATGTCTCTACAGTAGCGTCCGAACTAATTAAACCGCCCGATCGGATGATGATTCTACACCACCAGGATTTGGCGATTAGGTCCCGTCGCCCCTTAAAAGGGGTTAGATAAGGTATTTCTCCCGCCTTCTTAGCATGCCTTCGTGGTGTAGTGGTCAGCACACTCGGCGCCTAATCGAGAGGTCCGGGGTTCGAGTTCCGGCGAGGGCTTTGCTTATCTTCCACGTCTTCCTGCTTTTAAAATGTACCTATTGTCTCTAAAACTTTTTTAAAACGTAACTGCGTAAAATTAATAAAAATGCACATGTAATTATAACTTCATACTCACATATCACTGCTAAGATTATTATGTGATAAAGGGTTTAGACCATTTGTTTAAAACGCTGTGCAATACTAATCGCCTTGTAAAATTTTATATTAAATAACCCGTCAAAATTCGCCAATTTCCGTCAGAATGTAAGTTAGTTAATTTATAAATATGTTCAGAATTCTTGAGTTTTCAGGGAAAGTTTTAGCAGTATAGATTGGCCATTACTCTGCTTTTGTTCTCTTCCCTGCGCTGTTGCAATGTTTCTTGTCGGCGTAAGCTTCTTCCAGCGTATGCTTCACGAGCTAAGGTTTAGTAAGGCGTGTTTATTTTGTACTTGCATTCTGTTTAATTTGAATGTATGTCCTAGTTATACACAAGTTAATGAAGTTCCGTTTGTGTTAAACTTTGTTGTGTTTGTATAAATATCACCACCTTTAATAAAAAAAAATTTTAACCTTTTACTTTGACACCTTTAGTTAAGAGGACAAACGGAACAAAATGCCATCTATGCTTATTTTGTGTGATTTGCTAATTTAAATTTATGAGTGATTTTTCTCCCTCCTACCAGTATGCCTTCGTGATGTAACGTTAGCACACTCGCGCGTATTCGAGGGCATTTTCCTGTCTCCTGCTTTAAAAAAAAAAAAAAACTAATGAGCCAAACTGTTTAACAAAGCAACAGGCTTGCTGTATAATCTCATAATCTCAACATGAATAAGCCATCTATTCAGTATTATATTGCTGTAATACGTGATCTCGTATAATTCTCGATTATTCTTCAATGCAGTTAATATACTACTGCAGATAATAAATAACACAATGGGTTCTCTAAGAAAACTCTTCTCAAGTAGTAATAGAAATTCTCCCAGTAATTGAAAAGACATGAAAAAGAAAATTTAAATGCATTGTAACTTTTTTTAATACAACAGTGATTCCATTCATTTATGCAACATTTTAAATGCAAAGATGTTTCCGTCTCTTTTACATAACATTGTGAGATATAAAATTTACATAACGATTCACTCATAAGTGCATGGCTACCGTCAGGCAAATGTATTGATTGCTATTACAAAACGATCACGCTGATAGCTACCTTGCGAGTATAATGAAGTAATAAAGAGAATTGCGTTATTGTAACATAAATCGTTGTACCTCTAAACAAAAATCAATTTGTTTGCAGTTTTTATTCTTATTGTTATTAGTATTCCCAAAATTTGCAATAATTTTCATTCTGTAAAACAGGTCTCATCCGATTCTAGAACACCATCGATTTTAATGTGTAGTTCTTAATTTCAATTCCACCAACAGAGAAAATTAATTTATTTCTAAGCAAATAAAATGTGCAGAAATGAAATAAAATACTAAAATACTTCTAGCATATATCTTTTTAATAGTCTAAGTATTAACAAAAATAATATATGTATTAAATTCGTGATTTGGAAAAATTAAATTGTTTAGAATAACTGGTAATTCGGGGAAATCTGCTGTTCTTTTGAAGGGCCACTGGGGATGAGGGGACCCAATCGCCAAATCCTGGTGGTGGAGAATCATTATCCAATCGGGCGGTTTCATTAGGTCTTACGCCACTGCAGAGACGTTAGCTTCGGGCGCCATTGTAGAGACATTTGGTTATTTCGAAGAAGGTGAGATGAAAAATGTGCAATGCCCTCGCCAGGACTCGAAACACGGACCTCTCGAATACGCGTCGAGCGTGCTGATACCTACACCACGAAGTCATGCTAAGAAAGGCTGGAGAAATACCTTATTATCAGACATGATACTGATAGTAGGTTGGAAATATTTTGTTTTCACTGTGATTTTCTGTTGAAAATGTTCTTTCGAATGGTTTATTTTATTGTAAGAATACAGCATATACAAGCTATAAAGGGTGCAAAATCTGCGTTAATCTACTTTTTATGTTATCTTGAAGATGAAAGGCAGGCTAATAATAGCTATATTTCTGCAGAGACAAAAATTATTGCATTATCCCCCACGTAATAACTGCAACTCTTCGCATTCCTAGGGTTATTCTATAGGTATATTGCTCTTCTCTCTTGAGAAAACATAGGTTTGGTTTGTTTTACTTGATTATAGCAAAGCACTCTAGGGCTATCTGCCCAATGGGATGGATACCTTTTTGAAGGACTTCCTAAGGAAAACTGGCTCGTCTATACGTCGCATTCGGGAAAAGCCACAGCAACGTCCATGTAGCCAGTCCGTTTATGGGGATCGAACCCCAGATCGAGCTACCAGTATTTAGCGACTTTTTACCCCTTAGCCGCTGGCGGACATACCGAGGAAATGCGTAGCAGTTAATGGTTGATAGAAATCATTCATTCTTCCATTTGATCTCAAAAGAGTTACTTGAGCTTTAGCGCGTATCCATGCACTTTAAAAATTGCTGCTAGCATAACTTTAAAACTTGCAGGTGCTTATTTTGTTTTAAACAGAACACAACATTTACGTCAGAAGGTTTTTAATAAAAAAAATGCTATTACATAGCATCATTTGTTTTACACATATGCATACATGTATACATACACATGAATGATCGATTACTTTCATTTTGGTGTAGTGAATATGCAAATTGAAACAGGGGATATTATTTGAAATGAACAGACTTAAAACCAGAATACAGAAGCATTATAGGTTTGTGTTTGGTTGCTTAATCAGTTCCTTGGGTAATAGGTATTTATAATTGTAATCCCCATGTTGAAGGAAACAATGTTTAGAGTATGCAATAGTTTTGCTTAGAACAGGCAAAAAAAATAATGCAAACGAAATTCGTAAGAAACTGGCTATGGTAAAATTAGATGGTAAATTAAATTTTATCATTTTTGCATACCGAGGTTTTCATACGCGTAACATAAAATACGAAATAATTACCTTTAGAAAGTCTTCTTCGAAGCATTCTTTCCAATAGGCAGATAGCCCTCCGTATGCTTTCCCATATTCAAAACAAACAAAAAACTCTCTATACATTGGTGTGTATTTTTAGGCGTTGGTAGCTTTGTGTGGACGAAATGGGGAGATAAGTTTAAGCTAAATATTATCGAAACGCTTAGCTAACATTGTAAGGATCTTAAGTTTTACTAACGTTTATTTTATTTTAAATCTTTACTATCACTTCTTATTTTCTACTTCCGGCCAGAATTAAAAGCGTTAACTTATTTATGTAAAATTTATCTGGCGAACGCCAAGTACTTAAGTTGTGGCTTTTTGCCAAGCGAGAGAGAGGAAGGAGTTAGTCGAAGCAGGCCGCTTACCTTAGAAGTTTTACTCAGTTGCTGGTTGCCTTCCAGGCCAGAGGTTTAATCCTCTTGATAATTTAAACTTATTGTAGTGTTAACAGTTCTCTGTACTACATACGGCTTCTTGTTAATATAAGGCCAATCTTCCACGTTTATTATTTCAAAGTTAAGTTAGCGTTTAGTTATATTTTTATATTCTTACGTTTAGACCACAAGTAGTGGGTCTTTGTATTCCGAAGTACGGAAATTATTGTAAAGAGAGAAAAAATAAAGGGTTTTGTATACCCTTTTTGTGTATCCTGTCTACTTCCCACAGTTATTGAACATAGCTTTAGTAAGCTCTCTGTTCCGAGTCAGGTCCTTGCATGTTCCCAAAGAAAGTAAGACGGAACATTGAACCTGATAACATTAAAAAGAAAATACACTGTAAAATTAGGTATATTTGTTTGGAACAGACCTGTTTAGACGCTGCCCGGTTGCTATGCGAAATTAAACTTCTGTATCGCAGAAACGAGGATTACTTCTCAAAGCAAACTGGTTGTTTACCAGTAGTTTGTTTCGCTGGTCTTTTCGTTACGTTTTTTGTTGTTATTTTTATTGCAGCCACATATCAAAAAATAGAATGCATATTGCACGCGCAAATAAATTAAACAACTTCGCTTTTACAAAAATACAATGTATTACTGCATACGGACATTACCGCGTCTTATACCGTATGCAGCAGTATAGTGCATACTGTGTATTACTGCATTTTACACCGCATGAGATATTATTTGAACAAGCTATATCAAGCATATACGCAGCATATACTATTATATTGAAATAAGCATATACGCAGCAGTATTACTGCATATGGTGTAAAATGCTCTGCTAAGAATTGCTCATTTTTATTGGTATCAATATCAAACTATATTTTTTAATTTATAAACTACTTTAAAACACTTTACTAAGTGAAAAACATTTCCTTTGCACTAACATCAAATAAATATTTATAAACTATTTTTTGTTTGTGTCTGAAAGCATGCAATGTAAACCTTAATTGTTGTTCTGTTTTGAAAAACACAATCTTAATAGCGTAATAGACTTTCCTAAGACTAATATTCAAATCCATTCTTCTATAATCGATGTATGGGAATATATATATCGATCTATAAGAATTTTCTTCGATATATTGAAATTAATAAGTAATTTTAATGAAGAAAATTGAGTTAAAAAATTTCGTGAAAAGTTCAATTTAGGATGCATTTAATAAATGAAGTTCATGAGTCATGAGTAACTCTAATTTATTACATGGACTTCAAAAGGAAATTAGCTGCTTATTAAATGTTTATAACAATAAATCTGCTTGGTAACCATTTAAAATTACAGACGAGTTTAGTTTAATGAAACAGAATATACCTTTATACGGAAACCGGAAGTTTGAGAAAGAGGAAGAGAAATTATTCAATGACAAAAGATACGAGTACGCATTTCCTATGAAAAAGGTTCAGGAACGTCAAGGCATTCATTTAATTGGATATTTAAAGGATTTTATAGGGAATCCTAAACACTATCCGTAGACATAATTGATTCGTGCTGAATGGGAAGTCTGCTGCTAACAATTGTTAAATGAAATAATGAAAATTAGGTAGCCATTCAATATTAATTTT